CTGCGGGCGGGAGCGGGACGAAACTTGAATACTGCGGGCGGGAGCGGGAAAAAATAATATATATTTTTTGCGGGAGCGGGACAGAATCTTGCGGGAACGGGCAGGAGCGGGACTGAAAAATCCGTCCCGCGCAGGTCTCTACCGTGATGAGTAGAGGTATGGTGTTATATTTACTAGTCGGCAAAACGGCCAGATATAAAGTCGACACTTAAGCGACTTATGTCTAAGTCGGCAAAACGGCGAGTTATATTTACTAGTCGACAAAACGAAGAGATAGACATAAGTCACCAAAGTGTCGACTTTATATCTGGCCGTTTTATCTTGTCAATTCTCTAAGTCGTCACTTTTAAGCTGGACCCGCGAGTGTCGACTTAGACCGGTTTTACTGTATTCAGATTACTTATACTTACGCAAATCCTTCATTCAGTGGTGTAGTGGATGGTAAATGCACATAAACGCCATTTACGCACCTTTAAAATTTACAAAACAGGTGATCACCTTTTTTGAGATCACCAATGTTAAGGATATAAATAGTTACCCACTGTTTTTACTGCTGTACATAGAGTTTACCCACCTTAAATATCTTGTTACCACTACACCACTGCTTCATTACTTCATGATAGAAATTTATAGTAATATCAAATGTTGTAGTAAGACCAGTTTTTGAAGGTCTCGATCTTATCTTTGAATCAGCCGTATTTGTACTCGTTCTTGTCATGGACTCGGGATAACTCTGAGAATATGCTTATTAATGAGCCATTTACTAACGGATTGGATAACTAATAACTTCAAGTGCAGCCAATGGCGTTACTGCCGGCCGCATTACCCGCCCCCGTCCCTTCACACACGGACGTGTGTTTAAATGAACTCAGGGGAAGTCGTGGTTGTCAACACAATCAGCTATTATGTGGCTACAAATGTGGCTACATATACCACAACATGTTTACCCTACCATTCTATTAGGGGGGCGCCCTAAGTTAATTTTATTTAATTGTATTTTCTATATAGCGCCAGATCACAACAGAAGTCATTTAAGGCTACCTTTCCTGTAGAACAGGTTTATATCTTGTCCTTTTATTAAACAAACTAAATAGCCTTATGTTATTTATCTTATTTACAGTTCATCACTGTAATATGCTGAAACAACCGGACACGTTTTAAAACTAAATTTGCCGCCTGCCGTTCACGGGTTTTTCATCACCAATAGTCTTATCTGCGTCGCTCAGTCACTAAAGTCTATGGCGCTTCACGAGAGTGCAAGCTGGCTCATTTTTAGCGTAAAATGTAGAAAAGGCTTTTTCTCCGCAATAAATGTTTACTTTGTCCGTAATAAATGCAGACACACTCGCTTGCATGCTCTCTCCCCGTCACATATGTGTATCAACATTTAATAACATTAGACAATTATTTAATAATATTCTTAGTAGCAGTAGTGGTAGTCTGTGCTTTTTACTGAATACATTATCTAAAGCACCATGCTGGTTGCACTTCATAAAACAAGATTTTGTGTATTTCATTACATTGATTCAGCTGCTACAATTTATTTTTATTTTTTTTATACTCTT